GAGAGAAACAGTGGAATGAAATTCACCAAACTTTATGCAGATGTACGACTATATCACAATGAATTCTACTTTTATATAAATATAATGCACCAATTACAAAAAAAAGTGAATAAAAGAAAGACCAGTAGAATATAGAGGAAATGAATGAGGGAGAGAGAAGAGAAAGAAAGGAGATAGTATCAGAAATTTAAGGGGAACAAATTATGTTATATGTATTAATGAATATGCCAAAATGAATCCCACTAATATGTATAACTATAATTTATTAATAAAAAGGAAAAATGGGCAAATGGGGTTATATCAAATCAAAAAACTTCTGCTCCTGAAAGAAAATAATTGACAATGGAGAAACAACTTATAGACTGAGAGAAAATAATTGCAAATAATACAATCTGACAAGCAATTAATATCCCAAAGTATATAAGGAACTCAAGTTAGAACAAAATAAATAATAATAATAATCTAATTAAAAATGGGCAATATATCTGGAAGATGCTTTTTTGTATAATTGATATCATTTTTTTTTCTTTAATGTTTTTCCAGAATTCACCAGCAATACAATGGGAATCTAGAGATTTTTTTTTTTTTTTTTTTTTTTTTTTTTTTTTTTTTATGGAAAGGGTCCTCATTTAAAATGACCATTCCATGATGGTGGATTGTGATGGACATTACTATCCAAAGTACATGTATAAAGACCCAAATTGGTGTGAATATACTGTATATACAACCAGAGATAAGAAAAATTGTGCTCTATATGTGTAATAAGAATTGTAATGCATTCCACTGTCATATATCAATAAAAATTAATTTAAAAAAATAATGAAATAAATAATATATAAAATGATCATTCCAGGGCTGGGGTTGTGGCTCAGTGGTAGAGCACTCACCTGGCATGTGTGAGGCACTGGGTTTGATCCTTAGCACCACATAAAAATAAAATAAACGTATTGGGTCCACCTACAACTAAAAAATCACATATTAAAAATAAATAAATGAAATAAAATAAAATGACCATTCCAGCCAGGCTTGGTGGTGCACCTCTATAATCATAACAATTTGGGAGGTTGAAACAGGAGGAAGAGAAGTTTTAGGCCAGGCTGGGCAACTTAGCAACATCTTGTCTCAAAATAAAAATGAAATGAATTATTCAAAATGAAAGCATAAAAATAACTAAATTCATAAAAGTTAAAAAAAGGAGCTTAGGGTGTAATTCAGAGGTAAAGCACAACTGAGTTAAATTCCTAGTACTACTAAAAAGAAAGGAAGGAAGAAAAAAAAGGAACAAAGGAAGGAAGATCTTTAAAAGCTGTAGGGCTCCTCAGGCTATATTTTCCTGCATAAACTTTGGTAATTCATGTCTTCAAGACGATTTTCTATTTAATTTCTATTGTCAATTTTATTGGCATAATATTAGCAAAAAACATTTCCTTACTCTTTCATGTATTATGATCTGTAATGATACACTCTCTCATTTCAGGTATGGTAATTTGTATCTTCTTTCTTTTCTCCCTGATAATTTTACCTAGAAATTTACTGATTTTATTAATCTACTAAAGAGCAATGGTTTAGTTTTTATTGATTTTCTCTATATTTGTTTTCTCTTTAATTGATTTATGTATATATATATATAGTGTAATATGTAATAATTATTTGTTTTATTTAATTATATAAATTATTACATATTGATCATACAATATATAATACAATATTGTATATTGTATTATGTTAATATAACATTTTATATTTCATTACTTAGTAATATTTAATAATTAATTCATTATTATTTGTTCTGTTTTATACTTCCTTAAGGTAAAGGCTTGGTGCATTTATTTGACACTGCTCCTTTCTAATACAGCCACTTAGATATTATAGGATTTCCTCTTAGGACTACTTTGTCATGTTTTCATTTCATTCAGTGGAAAATATTTTAAATTCTCCTTTCAATTTTTGTTTTGACTCATAGGTTAAAAGTATAACATTTAGTTCCCAGGTACTTGGAGATTATCCAGATATTTCTATTATTGATTTTTAATTTAATTGTATTTTGGCCAGAAAAGATAATTTGTATGCTGAAAATTCTTTTCATTTTTTATAAGCCAAAATAGCCGGTATATGGTCTATCTGGGTATGCTGGAAAAGACTACATATTCTGCTGTTGTTGGTTCGAATGTTCTAAAAATGCCAATTCAGTCAGGTTGATTTGGAGTGTGATTTGATGTTCTGTTGCTTCTGCTTATTTTTTTGTCTGCTTGTTCAATTACTTATTAAGAAAACAGTATTGAAATCTATAGCTCTAGTTAAAGATCTTCTCTTTCTCCTTTCAAGAGAACCATCTGCAGATTTTTGTAATTGATATTTCTCCTTCTTTCTCTTTCAATTTTCCTCTCTCTCTCTCTCTCTCTCTCTCTCTCTCTCTCTCTCTCTCTCATTCATGCAGCTTTCTTTTAAATTCTATGTACTATGGCCTCCCCACCTTCTCAATGCTTTCTCATCAATGGACAGAATCCACCAGTCACTATTTGGGTTCCCTCTCCCTGCATGATAACCTGAAAACACTGTCCAGGCCACCAGCCTTTTGTGATTGTAGGGTTCACTTTGTTTCCATTCTTAAGAGTCACTATCCTATATTGCCTTTGATCAATTTCTGAAAAAAACATTATGGAATATGTTCATTCTCAGTTGTTATTTAAGATGAGAGGTTAAATCTGATCCTCCTATTTCATTTTATCCAGAAGCAAAAGTTTCCAATTATATTATTCACAGGTACTCAAATTCCACAACTGAACTAATTTCCATTTCCTGATCCTGCCTTCATCACTCCAACCATAACTCCAAAAGAAAGAAAACAAAAAAGCACTGTTTCTTCTCTAGTCCAGTGTACACAATTTTAAAAATAGCACCACCCAATCACAGAAGCCAGTAATTAGAATTTTATCTTTTCCTTCTAATCTTTCTTTGGCCCCCATACTCTAATCAGGTACCAAATTCTCTCTTTTCAAACCACAGTCATCATCTTCATCCTGGAAAAAATGCAATTTATGACTGGTCTCTTCCTCCTGTACTTCTCAACTTTAGTCCATTATTTGTATCAAAACAACTATCTTATAGCCTTACTTTAAAAACAACAACAAAAATATGAAAAAAATCTTTCACTTTAATTAATAAGTGTGTTCATTGTAGCTGCATGACTGTAGTAATTCCAGAACTGTTTTGAGTATAGTAGAGGATTGAGAAAATATATCAGTGAAAAATACTGTGTTGAACTGCAATTAATAGTATCAATATAAATTTTTTACACATACAAGCATGTATATGTATATGCTTATGCAGATATTTGTATATATGCATATGTGTCCACATGTATATACATATGTATGAAAATATACAGATGTTTATATGTATATATAACACCCACACATGTATACATATATAGGTGTGTGTATATGTGTGTTTTCTATTTTGTCATTAATGACCATTGAAAGGTTCTAGAAGCAATGATATCCTTATAGCAAGAAGTTAAGTCTATATATAATTTCCCACAAAATATACTATTTCTTTTTGGAAAAATGACTGATCACAAGGCTGAATAATGGAAGGTACAAGATTAAGTCTGAAATGTACTGTTATGACATATACTTTAAAAGTGTTCAAAAATGAGGTGAATGTATCAAAAGGAAACAGAAAGCAGATTGAACAGGCTCCCAGTAGGCAAATATTGAAAATTGTAAGGAAAAATTTTAATCAAAATGAATAATGATACTAATATTTTATAATCCCCTGAATAAAATAAAAATGCATTCATACTGACAATTAGCTAATTAATTAACAGGAAAGAAATACTAATTTTACAAACAGAATGCCATATAATAAATGTAGAGGAAAAATGGATTAAGAAAAATCATTCTTTTGCAGCTATAACTGTTGTTATTCATGGAAGAATAATCAATATTTGCTAAAACTATTGGGTACAAGTTGGAAGAAGAGCAGAATAGTGTCAAATAATATCCCCATGACTTATTAATTGTAAGCTTAAAATGGTAATTTTAGAGTGAAGTAACCTGGTAGACATCAAAATTAATATTACAATAATAAAGCAAACAGACATCATGCTTCCTTCTTCAGTAATGCTTTGAGAAGGAACTCCTGTTGTTTTATTTCCAAAAATGAATAAGGAAGATATAATTGACATTATGAGAGAAAATAAATGCTGAGCAACTATATTAGAGTATAGGTTAATGAGTCATGACAATAAATGCAATGAATAATCCTGGATTGCATCCTAAATGAAGGAGAATTACTATAACAGACACTTTGGAGATATTAGAAAAATTTAAATATGGACTACAAATTAGAAAAGAGTATTATGTTAAGTTACATTTTCTGAATTGTAATTGTATTTTATAAAATTATTTAATTGTTCTAAGGAAATATACACTTAAGTATTTAGGAACAAAGGGAAATGATATATGTGACTAATTCTCAAATGATTTTGGAAAAAATTAAATTCACCCACTTCCATACTTGCCATTTTAACACAGCCCATGACATATTATAATGCATTCATTTAATTGTAATAATACTTCTGATTATACTAAACTGATGGTCAAGTGCAATCCCATCTAGCCTGTAGATTGCTACTCTTTGGAAGACCAGGCTAACATGTGCTCAGATTTGAGAACAAATTTCCCAGCTGTTTCTGGCCCATACCTGACATCCAGCCAGTGATTATTATTTTGTAGTTATTATTGTGTTTTTTTTACTAGAAACTGGCTTTGTCAAACTTTGAGGTATAATACTCCAGATACATTTGCCTAAAATTCAGAAACTTTCCAAAACCAAACTAGAAAGTTTATCCATTGGAATAAAGAATTAATTTCCAGTGCTCTAAAGGAAAAAATTCAACTTTACACTAAATTTCTTTATCAATAGACTACTGAAATTACCTTATGACTCATTTAGATGGAAAGGGCTGAGTAGAGAATATTAAAAGAATAACTGACCTCCAAGTCCAGGTCTCAGTCGGTTATCATAACCATCCAGAAGACGATCCAAGATTCTAGTGAAAATAGTGATGTTGTCAGTGCTGTCATCAGGAATATCTGGGGCATGCTTAGGAGAGAGTCTGATACAATACAAGGAAAAGAAAAGGAAAATAGCAGTTCTTAATAGGAAACAATTACATGTATAAACATTTTAATTCAGGGAAATTTCAAGCAATAGTCCAGGCCAATAAATAGCCCCATGTCTTAACCAAAATTGCAAGCACTTCTTATTTGTCACAATGATTGTCTGCATAGAAAGCCAAGAGTAATCAATACATCAGCTTTTACACTTGGACAACAAACTCAGAAAGGAAGACAAATTTCCCCATACTTATTGCTAGTAGAGGCAAAGATTGAATTAGAATCCAAATTTTCTGACTTTCTAGTGTCCCTGAGCTACTTCCTACTCCTCCAGTTTGGATATCTTTTGCAAGCCTTTATGAACACCATGCATTTTACTAACCACCTAATCAGACTAGGCACTGTGACTGATATCTATACATTGTGAGGAGGAGCTTGATGTTGTTTGGCAGAACTAGAATTTTTTTAAAGCCCTGAGTAGTTCAGGGAAAAGAGGGATATGGTGAGAGAAATGGCTATTGTTGAGGAGGGTAAAGAAGGCTGGTGTAGCATTAAATAAAGAACCAAGAACTAGAAATCATGGTACCTACTTATTTGGAAATGGGGTAGATGATCAAACAAATTATTGTACTATATATATATATATATCTTTAAGTCTTGGTTTTCCCTATTTTTAACTTGGACTCAAAAAGTTGACTTTAGTAAGTATATAATAATTATTCCCAGTATCTAGTTTATCAGAGCTGTAAAAGCCACAAGATACCAGTTAAGTAAAGATCCTATGAGACAGTTAATACATTCCAGAAATATCTATGCCTAGAATTGAGCAAGGTTCTTATGCTGAAAAAGAGCTTGAGAACGAACATACAGGGTAGTAGAAACATCTGAATTGAATAGTTCTCAACCTAAACCATAATTTTTTATCATGTAACTTAGTAAAAGTCAATTTGAACTATAAGTTTCTTAATTCATAAACATAATTCAATTCACTTACACATTTTTATTATTAACTATATGATCACTACTATTCTAGGTGTTCTAATAGAGCAGAAAACAAAATAAAATAAAACTAAGTAATGTTTCTCTTGCTTAACTTACAAGGTTTCTGAGATAATTGAATTATAAAATAAATATACTTGGAAAAGGGAAATTAAGCCTCAAGAGTTTGAAGACATGATTTGAGTTTATTAGTTGCATGACCTTAAGCAAACCATGTAACACCTTTAGTGGTAGCTTTAGCAATTAAAATCATCCCATATATATGCTGTGGTAATATCAAATAACATATTAAAATTGCCAGGATGAATGTTTCATATCTACAAGTATTTGAAGTTTGTTTTTAGAATAGTAGTTTTTGCACTCAAATGCATTATTCAAATATTAGTGATAATAACAAATTATTGGAACATGTATCATCCAAAAGTCATAGGGACAGCTTTAGCCAGAGAGGCACTGGAACCTAAGTAATAGAGGATGATTGGCTGTTTGAACAGATCATGAAAAATGATACAGAAGCTTCAATAGGAAGGGGGAATAAAGGAGGGAATTGAAGGGTAGAGTTAACCAACTGAAATCAATACACTGAAGAGAGAAATGCAGACACCTTGTCAGATGACAGCCTACATCTGGCAAAACCCACCAATGTTCTGGTCCATCTGATGTAAGGCCATGGAGCAGTTGTAGGAACTCAACTGATTCAGTGAAAATCTGTTTCTTATTATCTCTTGACTTTCACTGTGGGGGTTCTTGCCTTGGTTAGCCTAATTTAATTTCTGGGAACTAGATCTACAAAATGAATGGGAAACCATTTCTTGGATTACTAGAACATAACAGAACAGAGAATCCTCTTAAAGACATACACAAACCAAAAAGGGCTTTAGAGAATATCTATTCCTGGTGGATTTACAGATGAGAATGCTAAAGTTCCTGAATATAATTTTTAAATCAATTTGAGAATTATTGGGAAAGCTAAAAAATTAGATCCCAAATTCCCAGATGCAAGGCATTCAATTTCTCTATGATTTTTACACTTGATTACTGATATGTTTTTCTCCTGACATGGACTAAATTGCTGCATAAAGTGCTGGAAGTTGGTTTAAGTTAGAATCCAAATTAGAACTCTCTTCTTCAGTCACTGTACTGCACCAAGATGCTGTAGTTTGTGCCCATCCACAGGTATTTTAGGGTAAACATCAAAGAATCATAGTACCTGAGGATTATTAAGGACTTTAGAGATCATATAATTTTTTACCTTCATTTTACATATTAGACACCTAAAATATCAATGCAATTGAGAGAAAAAAATTGTTTAGTCACGTGTTTAAAGTTAATGAGATTGGTACACTAACAATACCTTATATCTGTCACTATTGGTTGGATCAAATATGATAATAATAAACCCCCATTAAAGAATAAAATTATGTTACTAATACATTATCTGTATGTTAAGCAGGTTTCATCATTTTTCTAGTTGTAACGATGGATCAGTAGCAAGTTCACAGGATTCAAGTCAAATGACTACAGTGTTAGTTCTGTCTCCGTCACTTATTTCCTTATATGTAAAATAGGGATAACATAACCCTACCTTAGAAAGCTTTTGGAAAAAAATAATTAAATAAAATAATAAAAATAAGACTGCTTTGTAAATGAGGGTTTTTCCTTATTTTTTTCCCAAACTCCTGATAACACAGTGAGAAACCTTTGAAATACATGCACTTTTAGTCAAGCTCACTAACCACGTAGATATTAAGTGCAGGATGTCAGCAGTAATAGCATTAATTCAACCACATCAAGGACCTTGGTGTGTTTATGGTAGGGGAAAGCACAGCTGCAGAATTGCTGATGCAGTTCAGACAACAGCCCAAAGAGAAGAGAAATTTACTTCATTAAAAGGATGACATTTTCCCTCATACTGCATATGTCCTGGGGGAGAACATGTTTTTAAATAATGAAAATTCTAGATTACTGGCAAATCATATCTCTGCACTACTCCCAAGACTTCTATAACTCTTCACGGTTTATCAAATAAAATCCCAACTCCTTAGCCTAATATTCACAGCCTTCTGCAATCTGGTGCCAATATACTTTTACAGCTGCAAATTCCACTATTTTATTTTCATACCAGAAATCATAGCCAAATCAGATCACTTACCATTTCCTAATATCCCCTGCATTCATTTTCCAAGCCCAGGCTTTCCCATGAGTAGAAAGGCCTTACTAAAGATTTATCTTGCTAAGGATACAGTTATATGTTGCGGAGGGAATGAGAAACATGTGTGGTCCAACAGCACACATTCTAATGTTTTTACAGAAACCACTTGAAGGAAAAATAAACTTTTTTTACAAGAATATGCCTAATCTATCTAAGAAAGAGAGTTGGTCTTAAATATTTTCTACAATATTATAATAAATCTAGAGAAGTATTGGCTTGAGACATGCCTACTTACATATGTTCTACCTGTTCATATTAACCATATTTGTTGAGTTAAAGTAAAATAAAGACCAAGTTCTTCATACCTTCTTAGAAACTGAAAGACTCTGCTTCACACACACACACACACACACACACACACACACACACACCAATAACAACAATGACAACAACAAAAACACAGGAAGAATAAACTAAAGCATATTGTAAATGGCAAAGGTACTAGAACTTAAAGATGATTCCACATATGAATATAAAAAGACATACCCCAATTTAAAATATCTCGTGATCAAAACACTACCATAAAGATTATCTAGTTGTCCAGGCAAAACAATGCAAGTCTATTTCTCATAATTCATCTGAATTAACCATAGGGCTAATGTATGAGCCCTATTTCAGCAACATTTTTGTTGAGTAGACTTTCATAGACCAGCCCCTGAACCATTTATGACACTGTCTCTGTGAAAAAAAAAAATTGACACAAAAGATGGGAAAACTACAACACTATACATATTCTCTCCCTCACTGTTACTTGCTCTTTACTCTACTCCCATATGATCAAAGCAATAAGCTGCCCACCAGCTCAAACCCTCTCATTCATTCCTGGTGACTGATATCCTTACCACAGTCTGGCAGTCATCATCATAATCAAGTGATCAAATTTAGTATCAGTATTACTGACACAACTTCACATCCAGAAATGATACAGTAAGAAGTCACAGTATCACATAGGAAGTATTCTTGATCCTGGCCTCAAATGTCCATCCTTGTCCTATGTCACAAATGCTACATTTCCACTTCAGGAGTAAAAATATTAGGATCAAATGATACTTATTATTTCTTCAGACCCTATGAAAAAACTGCATTTGCCCTATAGTAGGACAGTCTATCCAGTCATATGGCTGAGATATTAAGTATTCAGAGTCTGAGAGATTACTATGTATAAGCAAATGTTTATTTACATAAAATAAATTATCATATGCCTAATTCTTGCATTTATTTTTATTTATTTACTTTTGTTCCCAGGGATTGAACCCAGGTGTACTTAACCACTGAATCACATGCCCAGTCCTTTTTATTTTTATTTTGAAGCAGAGTCTTGCTAAATTGCTTAGGGTCTTGCTAAATTGCTGAGTCTGGCTTTGAACTTGTAAACCTCCTGCCTTAGCCTCTTGGGTTGCTGAGATTACAGGCATGCACCACCATGCCTGGCCTAATTCTTAGTTTTAAAGAAAAATTCTTTGTGATGACTATTTCCACCACTAAAGGCCTCTGCACCTCATACGAAAATTTGTTTTGCATGATATATCTGCTAGCTGGCCTTAGGTTCTTGCCCTATTCCTTGTGGTTCTCCTACCCATACAATATATCTCTAAAATGAGTCTCTTTGCAAATTGACCCTCTTCAAATAATCTTAACCAAAATGTCCAATTTGCAGTCAGATCTGGAGGATTCATCCAATACTTATTAGCTACTTAAGCACTTACCTGTGAACCCATTATGAAATTGCTGATATTTGACCATGTTGACCTAGAAAAACAGTTTCATGATGGTTCAACTTACTGTTAA